AACAATGAGCTGACACATTTACACTAAAGGTGTGAGACTATGTTGCTGGTGTCGGTAAAGGAAAAGTCAGAGGATCTCCAAAGTCGTTACGGTTCATCCTCTGGGGACCATTAGTACCAAAATGAATCCATCCAATAGGTGCTGAGATATTTCAGTGTGGGCTGACTAATCGACATAGCAGCAATATATGATGATGAGAACGACTTATTTCTTTATTTTTCAGGTATTTGGTGACAAGTAGAATAAACACATAAAAGCAAAACATACTGCAGAACTTTTTACATTGTTATATTTTCTTACAGTCTTCATGCTATACTATCAAAATAAAGTAAATCTTCTACATGAAGGGGCTTTAAATGCACAATTTGATTTCCTAACACTGGTTGTATGTATATCAGTGTCCTTCTTACTGTAGTGTTACTGTAGGTAGCTTTCATAATGCTCTATTGCCAGAGAATAAATGCCAGTAACACTGCTGTTCACACTCTGGGTTAGTCTGGATGTGTGTGTTTGTGCTTGTGATGGGTCATCGATCAGTAATGGACTGTGATCTTGGTGACAGTCATATTGATTTGTGCAATGTGACGCCTACACTGTGTGAGCCCTCGCAATGTCAATAAAAATGTGTGCAGTCAGTGGGTGCGATACATTTCATGTGGCTCAAAAGAGGAAGCAAATCCACAACTTTGGTGTTTTCAGCCTCACATTAAGCTGCGATGGAGTACTGGAAGTGATAGTAAACAGCTCATTAACTGCATCTGAAAATTGTTTCTAAAAGGGTTTATCTAAAATACTGGAAATACAAAAATGTTATAGTTTTCCTGTGTTCTCACAGGGGAGATTAACTCAATCAATGGAAATGAACATTTGGTTTGAATTGCTTTTAAATTGTTTTTTGCCCCACACAGTTAATGTCAATTCTATGTGTGTGTGTACACTCAGTAGTTTAGATTCAGACACTAAAAATGATCCTTTCCTGAGGGTTTGGTTTCAAGCCAAACTTTTTCAAACCATGCGGTATAAAATGTTAATATTTAGTCTAGTTTGCACTAGAACTAGGAATAAAAACAACAACAACCTGGGAATATGAACTGATCACGCACTGTGGGAGTCACTTCTCACCAAACCATAAGACATGATGTGTTAAAAGCAAGTCGAAACTAACATAGCACATAATGATTCCTGAGGCACGTGGTTAACACGGTTTACACTGTGACTCCTAATCTATAGGGTTGACCCAGATCTAAACACTGCTCATCACCCAGAGTGACCCTTTCATCTGTTCTAAAAGGTTCTAAAAGGGGAAACATATCCAGTGGCAGTCCATGGATTCTTACATAAAAAAGTTGTTTTTTGATACTTACACTGAATTGAGGAGTATAAAACTCTTATTTTTTGGGCTAAATGCTACAAGTACTGTTTAGTCCCCACTGGGTCTTGACTGAACTCTTCATTGGGCATCATTATAATAATGCATTTCCTGTAGCGAGCTGCTGGTCGCTGGCCAGCTGCCTGCTCTACTTATAGGCTGACAAACTCAATGATTGATTGGCTGTCCGGCTCATTGACAGACAGAATGACACACCTTCAGGCTGGTTGGTAAAGCTGAATAGTTGGCTAACAGGGTGACCAGCTGGTTGGCTGTTTTCCTGGTTGCTATTTGAAGTCATGCTGGCTTGCTGACAGACTGGTATAATGATCCTGATGAATGTCACGCTGCTGTTTGGACTTCTGACTGCACGACCGACTCCTGATCCATCTACAGTTCAGGGGTCTGATGGTCTCTTGTTGTAGTACCTTAATTTGACCACTAGAGTGTACCAGTGTGCATCTTTACCTTCAAGCACTCCTCTAGCACTTGAATCCTTTTAGAGATTCATTATTTCATTAATTAATTAAATAAGTAAACACTTGTATGTATTTCATCTGAATTGTTTGGATCACCAAACTATTGACATGTATGTGTGTATACTGTATGCTGTTAAGTGTCATCCACTTTGAGAGTTGAAAGCCTTTGCAACCTGAGACCACACGCACATATACACACACAGAGCATTATTGTCTCTTAAAAGGTCTCTCATGAGGATAGAGCAACTTGATGTTTTCAAGTCAAAGACAGAGTGGGAATAAAAGGGAAAGAGCAAAAGAGTCTTTTAGAGAAGGTTCAGTCAAAGAAGAGTTGTGTTCATACTGAACCACAGAGGATCAACTCTAGACTAGTCTTTCTCTCTTTCTTTCTCTTTCTCTGTTTCTTTCTTCCTTTGACAATCAGCCAATTTATTATCAAAGAATATGGAGAATATGGTGTATTATGCTGCCACTTAATGTCCCAGAACGTGTTATGTTCATTATAATAAATACAGTTAAATTTTAAATGATCCATTTAGCCAAATCTTTCTATTCACAAAAAACATCTTTAGGCTTTATTTATCAAGAGTCTAACACTCAATTCAACTAATCTGTGTTGTCTAGACTCTGTGGGTGGTTTGATCACATCTAATTGACAATGCCGGATTATTTTAATGGTGCTAAACTCTAACTTGTTCACACAAATACTTGACATCACATTTTTCTCCACTTTAAACCAGTGAGCCATGTGTTCAAGTTTTCTGCCTCTGCCTGTCTTTTAATCTGGTCATATTTCCCAACATTAAACCAAGTTCAGCCACATCAGCCCCATTGTATCACATGTGTTTGCTTGCCTGTCAAAGTTATAATGTGAGTAGCTGAACACTACATGCCTACACCATTAGAGCACATTATTGTATATGCATTTTTCCTGAGGATTGTAGTTGTTCAGAACATCCTAATATCAGGTGATCCTTAAGTATTTCTGCTAATTTGCATTTATTGTACAGTACACAGTACAAGTATTTGTGCATTTATTTTTAAAATGTAACAATGTGGAAAGCCAAAAATAAATATTTTACTCCTTTGTAATAAGTGCACCCTGTATCAGCTCAAAGAGATTTTTCTACTTCCTTTCATTACGGGAAAGCAGCTAATCAGACAATAAGCAAAATTTAGACATCAAACAAGATTGAAAATGAGACTTTCCACCAGGAGAGAAATCGGTCTACAGTCAAACAAGAGAGGGATATCTTTATACGATTGTTCTCCACAGACACTTCCTTCCCTGCATACATCCATCCTACACACTTGTACTACATCAGTGGCCTGATTGCACTAAACAATGCCACCTCACTGCACCTTTGACCTTTCCACTGGGTATGACACAGAGCACCTGTACTGTCCGTGCATATGTGTGTGTGCGTGAACATGTGTGTGTGTGTGTGTTTTTTATCCACTGTGGAAATGCAAACACACCTGGAGTACCAGAGCTGACAGGGACACTTTCACACATATTATATAATACGTGAGATACAGTAGCTCCATTTGCGGTCAGCACACACACTCTGTTGACACTTGAACACAACCTAATTTGAGTAGTGTTTGTGAATGTGTGTGTGTGTGTGTGTGTGTGTGTGTGTGTGGTTGGCTCGCACATGCGCGACCAGCTTGCGTGGGAAGAACTGAGTTTGCTTTTCAGACTGAGGTGTCAGCATCCAAACATATGAGCTAATAGATGGTAGAAAGGAGTGATGGATGGGGAAGAGAGAGGAATGGACGGTTAGGGGGATAGAGAAGAAATAAATAGTTAAAGATAGAAAAAAAGAAATGAGGAAGCACTATCTAAGTACCTGTGAGTAGTAAAAACTGCTTTACACTAAAAATACTGTTAAAACAACGATTATATGTGATTTTGATGAAACTCACTTTTGCATTATGGTGTCAAAATAAAATCAAGATCAAGTAGTCTAGCTTTACTTTGTTAAAACATCTTCTATGAAGATGTTTTATACCATGTGGTGGTTCAGAATGTCATTATTTAAAAGGGAAATGTTCATTTTTGCTGTGTTTCCACTCTTCTTTTGGCTGTCAACTTTTTGAATTCTTTGGGATTGGTTGTCTCTGTTTAAAGTAAGTCAGATTTTTCGTATTAGTCGCTGTTTAATGCTGTTGTTTTAACACAAAAACTTCAGGCTAAAACACAGAATAAAATAAACAAATCATTATTGAAATCAGGCAATATTTAATCCGACCAAGCATTTGGTGCCAACTTTGAGCATTTGACAGTATGTCATACTCAGTGTTATGTGGTTTATATTCAAAAAGCATTAAGATTTGATAACTGGCCATAGAATCTATACAGGAAGAGTATAATAAGGGAGGCAAAGACATAGACAGAAAGAGATAGAAACATGGGCAGTAAAGCATATCATACATCAGCCAGATTATATTGTGATAACTGAATGATCACCTCTCAGTCGTCACCTCTCTCTGGCTAAGGTTAGCTGGGACTCAGGTGGTGTGTGTGTGAATATGATTTACAGCAGTGTGACAACCAAAGCACAGTGCCAAACATATGATTTAAAGGTGTATCATTGTAGCCAAGGGCCAATTGGATTACCTTGTCCCATGAGAGATGTTTACATACAGCCCACGACTGAATATCGCCTCATACACAGTTTTTGTAAAATTACAGTCGCTGATGGTGATGGATTCAATCAATTTTCTGAGATTTTCACTAAATCTTTTACACTTAATGCATTTAATTAAATTAATTGAACCTATCAAACATGTAGGAATGTGTTTATGCACCTTATGACTGTGTTGCGCATTAAAAGGTTGCTTGTGTGTGTATCTTTTAACGTTATAGAGTACAACCAGTTGCAGAGATACTGTAAATTCCCTATAAATGTGTGCAAATAATTTAATGTTTTATGTGAATGCATCATTGGAGTGATAAGAAAAACAGTCCATGTCTGTAGAACATAAATCTGTCTTTCTGTATAAGGTCACACAGGCAAAATAGCTACAACAATTCCAATGTTTCTAATGAAAAGAATAAATCCATAAAACCAGGATTTAATACACTACAATCCAAGTCTTATTTGCAGTTACAATATTAATAGTGGCAGCACATTTGTTGTTCCTACCTTAACGTAGTCCACCGTGGCGTCCAGGCTGGCAGCAGGCTCCCTGGGGAACACAGACAGAGACATGGTCCTATTTAGTGAACACATCTTATTACTGGATCCAAACTGCTGGACGCTGATCTTCGGTTCCTCGCTATAGTTCCTATTACGCATAAACTGCTGAGCTGGTTGGGTTAGGTCCAGGTGGGTCCCTGACTGGTGCTGATGATGTTTTCTTTAGAGATTCAAACACTGCTCAGCTCTTTTAGGAGAGGATACAGTTCAGTGGAGGTGTGGCAAGGTTCAAACGGATGTCACTGGTCCAAACAGGGATCCGTGTATATGCCATATGCTAGACCTAGAAGGTACAGCTGCACTGTAAAGGTGGTATACAGAGTTAACTGCTAGGGTGTCCCAAGTTCACTTTGCAAATGAGTTCCTCTAAAAGAAAAAAGTCGAGTGAAACCAAACTTCACACTGAACTGCTTAAAATCTGAGTCTGTCTCTCTCTCTGTCTCATTTGCTGCCTGTCTCTCACTCTTTCTTTCTCTCAGTCAGTGGTAAACATGTTCACTCACTGCCTGCCTGACTTGGCCTCCCTCCCTAAACCCTCTCTCTCACTCTCTCTCTCTCTCTCTCTCTCTCTCACTCACTCACTCACTCACTCTCTCTCTCTCTCTCTCTCCTCCCCCACAATAACACACATCGCGGCCACACGCCTACCCTTCGGAGTCTACTGACAAATTCACAGAGAGGTTAGAGCACACACATACAAACAGCACCAGCGGCATTTTCTTTGATTTCTTCATCAACCCAAACAACAACCACATCAGACAGTTTGCCATCTTCTTTCTGTGCGTCGCTGACTCTCTGTAGCCACTTTTTCATTTGCTTTTCTTAGACACTCTTGTTTAAAGTTCAGAATACAGAAAACACAGGTTCAGGAATTGTATTTTGGGGTTTGTTTGTTTTGGACAGCAGTATAAGGTCATATTGTGTTCCTTACAGAACATCTTACTTGTGTTCCCCTTATTGTTTCCATTGCTCTCGGTCTTTGCCTCGAATATTGGTACTTGAGTGTATTAATGTAGCTCAGAGTCTCTCTCCACAGGAGGCTTACAGCCAGGGGCTCAGTGAAAGAGGTAATTAGCTCAAATCCCAGTCTACGTTAGCAAGGTTGGTAGTTTAAATCCCTTAAGCTTAGAGTGGTGTTCCCACGGGAATATTAGTACAGTCCATTACTTACCAAACTAAATATGTTTAGCTCTAAGCCCTCTCAGTTTAATATGGCCCCAAATAATGAGTGGGATTTAGTTATGTAACTGAACAGAAGCCTCCATTCACAACAATGTATAGTCATTATTCATAGAAGGTGGAGTGCTCAGGATTCTCCATCAACCTCAGAGCCTAGAAAGTTCAGTGTATTGCAACCGATCCAGTTTTAGGTCTACAGATACCTAATCCAACATATCCTGGTCTACAGTGAGTTGTCCTCACAACAGAGGGCACATCAGTTGCTGTTGGCTGAACAACTGTGTCTGATGGTGCCAGGAGCACTGCACAAATGCTGATCATCAAGGGTGAGTATTTTATGCTTTATTATATTATTTATATCTGGGAGAGTTTTGTCAATCAACTATAATTCAATTCAATTTTATTT